TATATATATATATATATATATATATATATATATATATATATATATACACACACACACTTAATTTACGGTAAAGATCAAAATTTAAATCTCTAAAGCATATTTCATATTACTGTTAATATTTGAAAGAGTCTGTATGCCAATATTTATAGTTTATTTTGAATGTTTCATAAGGGTTTAGCATTTACAACTTTTCATTAGTTTGATTATTTATTGTCCAATTGTATTCAGTCAATGTAACTCAATGCATCTGGTAAATTTGGCATAAAAACGTCAAGTGGAATTTCTCTTTTCCCTTTTTTTTCCAGTCCAGGTTGCTTCCTCAGCGCCCACCAAAGCAGCCATGACATCTAAAGGTGCCAAAGAGACCATCGTCACCCGGTTGGGTTTCAAATCCAGCAGCTCTGCCTCCAAGGCTGAGGCGGAGCTGGAGAAAGTCAGAAAGGACAACACTCACCTCAGGAGAAAGATTGATGAACTGGCCAAAAGACTCGCCAAACCACCCGACTCGGACAAAACCAAGCTGCTGGAGGTAAAATTTAATGTATTGACGTATTTCAGGTTTAACTTGAGAATCGCCTGTCTGTTTGCCTGTTTTTTTTTTTTTTTCCCCTTCGTATTTTAACGTGTATGTGTTTATCTCATGTTGTCTATTTCAGAGGATCCTTTCCCTCGAGACGCTGCGAGAGAGAAACAATCAGCAGTTGCTCGTTAAAGAGCAGGAACTAGAAACAACGAGACAGCAGCTGTCAGCCAGAGGAGGAGAAGTATGTACCGAGAACACATCGCTGCAGAAATATATACGGCTAAAAATCACATTTACAGTAGACCAGTATAGATGCATCCATCTAGATATCCTCTGTCAGCTTGGGACACAGACTGATTTGGACATGTTGCCCAGGGTCTTCTGGGAGCATTCCTCAACTTGTGAAGAGTTGTTGCACTTATTTGCCATCATATATTGGTGGCATGCGTATAACTGGGAGAAGACAAAAGAACGTACTAGAATCTCACTGAGCTGCCATAAAAACAGTTTGGGGGGGGGATAGCTTCTATCCCATTTTGACAGCAGCTCAGCTAAAGGATGTTTCGACAGCCCAAAAAAGAGAAAAGCATACCAACACATGGTGTGTATGCTGTTCACTTGATATTTATAAACCAACTATCTTTCACTGTTGTGGGTCTGTGTTCATGACACCGCGAGATACATTGATGCTGTCTATTCGAGCTTGTGGCTTCTCCTTCTGAAATCCTGTTTCTATTGTTGAAGAAATCCTTTTTGTTCTTTTTAATTCAGACTAGTCACAATGCCATCCAGCTGCTACTTGGAAATGGCCTGCTGGTAAATGGGTATATCAGCTATTGATTCCCCAGCCATCGTGAATGTGTACTTTGATGATCCTCATCAACAAAAGTGCTAAAAACCAGAACTGCTCAGTGGGGCAATGTGAGCTGCAATTGGTTGGAGAAGAGCAAAAACCGCCTCTGTATAAACAAAGGTTAAAAAAAAAAAAACAGGTTGACGTGGTTTTTGTTTATTTAAAGCGACGTGTATTTCAGGTGGTGGCATCACTGCAGGCCCAGCTGGAGCAGCGGAGGAAGGAGGCTGAGCAGAGAGACACGTTGTTCCAGAACTTATCACAGGAGACGGGGAACCTGAAACACCAGCTGGCCACTGTGTCTGCCCGGTGCCAGTCCCTGGAAACACAGGCGGTGGTAGGTTGACCAATCACAGCCCCCGTACCTGTCGAGATGTTCTCATTAGTTAGAAAAGTTAGCGCTGCTATTTAAGTTTGTCTCCTTTTTTTCCAGGTAACTAATTATCTGATTGGGAATGTGTGCCCTTCTAATAATGCACTTGGCTTTAAAATGTGTCTGATGAAACTACTTTTCCTGGCGCAGGCCATGAAAAGCGTTAATGGTATCATGACATTGATAATCAAAGGGCTTATTCGGTACCTTTTATTTATTGATGACAAGCCCTAGGGTAGTATAGAGAATTCTATTTTAGGCTGTTGGTGACACAAATGTGATGAAATGGAGGAAAAACATAGATTTTTAGAACTCTGTCCTCTGCCACACAATCTAATATCCCCCGATCTGAGATTATACACATCCATAGTGTGCATGCAGTAGACATATATTTGTTAAATTCAAAAAGAATGTGCACAAATTTCACTTTATTTGACAACTAGAGTGTAAAAGAAAGGTGCTTTTAAAGGAACAGGTAGAACTTGTTTTTTTAATAATCATGGCTCCTGTTTGGATCAGTTGCACCTACGATCTGTAATGTTGATGTCATCATCAGGTTATTGCGCGTTTCAACAGAAACCGTTCCTACCGCATGGGAGGAGACTTGTTTTGGAAATACAGATGCATCCATTTCTTTGTCCACTGGGCGGCACTGTGGGACCTCTGATTGTTTTCCTCGGCCGCTGACGTTACCTTCTCTCTGGGGAATGTGTTGGGCTGAGAGCTAAAGGTGCAAAGTAATACATGACCAAACGTGATGAATGTAGCTGCACGATCCACGGTTCTCTTTCTTCAATCAATAGCTCTACAGTAACGATATAATAACTTTGTGCAAGTGACACACTCTCTATAGCATTGTATAATTAATGCACCCATGGTCGGCACGAGTGTAGGCTCTCCTTCCGAAAGGCAGCACCGATTCCCGGTCAGCCCTTTGATGCTTTGAGCACAGCAGGCCCTCACTGCACTCTAACAGAATCTGCTTGAGGCAAAGTTGGCAAAATGGCAAGTGATTCAGGAATTTGGATGGCTAAAGACTCGGAGATCACGAAGCTCTGGGTCAAATACAGCTTCAACATCGTTTATTGTGCCTTTGTTGTTTGTTGTTTTTTGGCAAATTAGTTAAACTCTAAATACAATTAGAGGGAGGTGGAGAGAGTCTGTGACCATAACTGTATATATAAAATGATTTAAGAGGCGTTGGATTTTTTTACATGATATTATCATTTGTGTATTATTAAATAAAACATAGTATACATATATGTATCGATATATAAAATTGGGAGAAAGACAACACCTTTTGTAACTACAAAATGTGGTCCCTGTAGATACATTATTGTTTCAATTGCGGCTAGAGCCAAAGAGATGGGAGGGGTTAAAGAGATTTTCAGCAGAAAGAGACAGATTCAGTTTCTTTTGTTCCTTTTATAAAGGTCAGCCACGTGCTGGAAACACTGTCTTTGAATCTAAATGTTCTCCGATTGTTTGCATAACTCCTGCTTTGGGTTTCAAGTCACTACTTTTAGACTCACGGTTGGAAGGTTGGGTAAAATGCAGATTATTCAAACAAATGGATCGGAATACTTGTGATCACGTCGTCCTTTTGTATATCTGTGTCTCACAGGAAGTGGATCTCCTTATCTCTCTCTCTCTCTGTCTTTCCAGTAATGTTCCGGCCGGGACCTTTCCAAGCCTTTTGGTTTAGCTCCTTTCGTATTACTAGAAATAATCCGATCCGCATACCCCTGACCCAACCTCTCCCTCGTTCTTGGAGTCACAAAAGCTCTTAGTCAGGTTTAGCTTGTTTTTAAATCCATCTGGAAAAAGTTGACGAGCTGAGGGTGCTCGCTCACGGAGATGATCGTTTAGAGGCCTATTGTTGTCAAGGGTTTTCTTGAGCTTAGGCCTTTAGTGGGATCAGGGTCAACTATGAGACCTCAGACAGGCTTTTAGGAATGGATGTCGGGGAAGTAACTCTAGGGGGCCCTGGGGTCATGTGGTTTTTATTTATTATTATTTATTACCAACTCATAGGACTTGCTAATTCAAGCCAATCAGATAGAAGTGTTGAAGACAATACTGTGACTATCAGACTTTAAAAAAAAAAGGTGTTTTTCTCTCTACAGAATGGACAGGTACCTCCTGCAGACTTGGCGTTGGTACAAGATCAACTGAGAGACGTGAGTCAGCGTGTTTGAATGTGCCCGTTTGCAATTTAACCGCTTACTTTCTCGCTGTTGAAAAATGCTTTTGGACCGCAGCTTCGTAACAGAAATATCTTGCCCATCTGCCATACATTTCATCCCATAACTCGGTCGAGTGCCATGGGAATGAAATTATTATCTGAGGTTTGTTGTTCAATGTCTAGGACAGAGGACACACGGGGTATTCTGTGTTGAGGCCTTGTCACAAAACCAAACTTCTGTCTCGGCCATTTTCCAAAAACAATACAGACGTGTCCTTGAGTTGAACAGCGCTAGTACTCCACTACACAGAATAGAGTGTGTCGGTGTCTTGAGTTGTGCGTCTCACCACCAGGCTCTTGAGAAGAACCAGCAGTGGCTGATGTACGACCAGCAGAGAGAGGCCTACGTCCAGTCCGTCGTGGCCCGCACGCAGGAGCTGGAGCAGCAGCAACAAACCAAACAAGAGGCCCCTTCAGGTGGTGAGACATAGCCACAACACTAAACAGTAAGACAGTGGCGGGCTTTGGGATAAGGAGATGAGGGAAGAGATGAGATGGGTTATAATCCTGGAATTAAATCTTTTAGTTTGGCTTTGACCGTGAACACAGACGCCGCTTAGTACCGAAATGTTTACATTTTGAGATTAACTTCTTATTTTGTCGACTAACACTTCTTACCTCAGCTCCTGCTGACTCATCGAGTCCAGAAAAAGAGGTTCAGCTGAAAAGCCACTATGAGCAGCTGCTGTTGGGGGTGCAGAAAGACTTGGAGCAGAAAAGGGAACAGGTTACCAGAAGCCAACAGGAGCTCAATGGGCAGAGGGAACAGGTAAATGCTTAAGGATTTTTAGTTGATTACTGTTCACAACAGAGCTCTGTTGGGAGAAATTAATAGACAAAAAGTACGCGGCGTTCTGAACTTTGCGTTCTTCCGCGGCTCTGCAGACCTCGAAAGCTCAGGCTGAGCTGCAGTCTCAGAAGGAGCAAATTCGCAGGCTCCAGGAGGAGATGTCGGCGCTGCAGAGGAGGTATGAGGACAAGTGCAGCGATCTGTCCTCCTCTCTGAGGAAGTACGAAGAGAAGAGCAAAGAGTCGGAGGACGTAAAGATGCGGCTGCAGGCAGAGCGACACGGCAACAGGTAAAGCAAAGTCTGCTAACAATAACAGCAGTTAATAGGTTTTAAAACAAAGATTTCCGTTCTCGTACTTTATAAATAAACACGGTTATTCTTAATATGTATGTGGATTACATAAACATTTCATCCAGACGTGAAGTGTGTGAGGAGAGAAAGGTGACGTCCGAGCAGTCAGACAGGATGAGAATGGAACTGGAGAATATGGACGTCCGATTGGAGGAGGAGAGGAAGAGATCCGCTGAACTCCTGCTGCAGGTAACGCTCTCGTTCAACCTGCGACGGTTTAAATGAAACGCCTCATCCCAGGTGTGTTTGAATTGGAGAATAGTTAAATGTATTTTACTGGTGATGTGGCCTTCACAGGTGAATATGCTGCAGAAGTCTCTTCTGAGCCAAAATGAAGAACAGAGGAGAATCGCAGCACTGGAGCAGCAGGTAAGCACCGTCGACGTGTCGGTCACAGTTCACACAGGGAGAGATCTGAAAAAACAGACAATGTGTCACCATTAGCGATGACACAATTTGAACGTTTACGGCCCAGTTATGAGAAGACAATCCTTCAGTACATAGTTGTAACTGTTATGAGTGACTGACATTTCCTAAACTTAGTGGAATCCATACGGATCCCGCGTGTGTAATCCAAGCACAATGAGTTCTTGTCTCTCTCTCTCTTCTCGTGTTTTTCTAACCTCTCCGAAGATCCAACTCTCCGCCAAGGACTCTGAGGATGAAAAGATTGATCGTCAGAGCATGCAGCACCAGTTACATAAGGTGCTGAAGGAGCTTCGCAAGGCCCGTGACCAGATTACTAAACTGGAGTCTGCTGTAAGTTTTACTGGACATCAGAGCCATCATTCATTTATCTTTCAGAAATACAACTTAAATCTACTTTTTTGTATCGGGCTTCATCAGCGTAATATTTTGTGTTTCAGAAACAGCCGAACGCCCGTTTCTCTGAACCCAGCTCCTACAACAACTTTGAGCGTCTTACTATCAACGGCCCTCCTGGTCCTACATCTTCCTCAAAGGTCCCCGACCTCCTGGATGAGAGTTTCCTGGAGTGCCCAAAGTGTCGGGCCCCCTATCCCACCAGCCGCCACAGGGACCTCCTGGCACACATCGACTACTGCCTAGCCTGAGCTAGAAGAAAGTCTAGACCAGTGGTTCCCGGCCTGTGGTTCCCGAGGGGGGGCAGCCCGATAGCAAAGCAACCATGCATACAACACAAGCAGTTATTATGTTTCTTAACATATCCAGGCTTCTAAAATGTTCATTCGAGACTAGATCATAATATCCATTCAGTGACTTTAACCCCTGCAGGGTTGTTTTTTTAAACACCGTCATACACCGACTCCGCTAACACAATACTCCTGTGAGCAACAATGGTGAGTGAATTATGTATTCTAAACTCACCTGGAAGGCCGCTTGCGTGGTTGCCGACCGATTTTATTGTTCTCATTTCCAAAAGCTGATTTAATGTGCGACGTGGCTGCGGCCTCGTGTAAGATGATCAGTCTGGAACTCCTGCCGTCGTAATGATCACTGGATACAAGTTTCTGATGCATTCAATAACGGGAGATTATAGATGTGTTCCAAGCACGACTGTGTGTTAAGTTCCCATAAACAAGATTGAATTAGTTATTAGTAAAAACACTTTTTTTTCTCTTTTTTTTTTTATATATATATATATAAATAAATGGGAATCAAGGGACATTCTTAAAATGCTGCATATTTCATCACCATATCACTTTTTAAAAGTCTGTTTTATGCTGAATGAATGTGACAACTTAAAAAAAGGTTTTATTTTGCCAGTATGATACCATCAGGCCAAAGAGCGATCTGATCATATTCCTTCCATATGTTTTATTTCTGGGGTCTTCCTCTGTATTTGTGTTTTTCAGCTCTTAGTGAATTTTATTTTTTGTGTATTTGATGAATTTATTTATTCTCGGGTTGTTGTGTGTTTTTTTTCATACAGGCGAGCTACACTGTCTTTTTAGATAATGAAAGCTTTGCATTGCTACTTATATATCACTGTCCATTGTTGCGCTATTGTGATGGCCCTTTTTGTGTATCATGGGATGTATTTAATGGTATTGTGTAAAAGTTTACAAACCGGCTTAACACAGTATAAACCAGCTGTAAACCTCCACTCCTTAGTTTCCTGAATCCATTCTTTGGGGGTTTTGTCCAGCTCCTTCCCTTAAGATGTGTAATATTGAAGGCATATTTACATACTTCTGAAGAAAGATATATTTTTACAGTGTTAAGGGGGAAAGACAAAAGACATATGTTTATGCCTCTGGTGTTCTCTGCTGCATTCGTCCGTCATCACTGTGGACAAACGTTGCCTCTTACGTTTCCAGTATAAAGCCCGGTGGTGTTTCTCTGTCTAGTGTTTTGCAGACAGTTGGACAAACCTCTCTGACCCATGTGACCATGACTGAGACTTACCCCACATCGTTTGATTTGTCTAAACTCAACCAGATCATAAACCTCTTGCACATGGTGCCAGGATGTCCTTGTGTTCTTCCCTGCTCGAGTGAAGCTCGCATTCACCTCCACTCTTCAAGCCTGTGGGGGCTGGAATGAGATTGCATGAGCTAATTCCTTGTACTAAACTATTTAAGGCAGGGGATTAGTAAAGGTCCTCTTGGCAGGGGATACGGGGTTAAGTTGCCTTCATGCCTGCCATGTTGGCAATGTGACTGGACAGACTTAAGACAGACGGACACTGCTGTACTGTCATCTTTGATTTTACATCGCATTGTTTTGGATGACCTTATTCCGTTTTGCTGTTGTTTTTAAAGTCGTCTTTGTGTTTTTCTAATCATGTGCTCCAAAGTTGTTCTGCCATGCACTGTACTGTACCAATGTGTGCAATAAAGATCTGAATCCACTTCCAACACACGTCTTTTGTGTACTTTCTGTCACATCGGTGTATTTCAGGACCAATGGTGTTTTGAACTTTTACTTTGCCAAATACACAATCTTTACTTGCTTTGTCTGTTTGTTTTTTTACCAGTTTATATTTTTCATTGCTCGTCATCGGAAAAGTGAAGGCCGAGATAAAGGTTGATGAGCCTTGTGTGTTTTGACTTTGTGTTGTTTACTTAATCTGCACTTTGATACTGAAGGGATTGGGCATCATAAGTGTATTTCAATTACCATCGAGTCGACTATAACAAAACAAAGTAACTTATGTAGAAGACATTTTGTCACTTTTAAATAATGCTAAGAAAGAAATGTCCTCGAGCAGCGTTCTCGGCTCTGTGAGGCCGATGAGCACAGTGGTGCTTAAAGCTAAATGCTCTGGTCTTCATGCCGTTGTTCAGCAGGTAGAATGTTCAGTGTTCATCATCTTGGTTAGAATGCTGGCATTCAAACAAAGTGTAACAGGCTGATGGGAATGTCATTAGTTTTACAATTCATTGAGCATGTTGAGATATTTCATTGGAGAAGCAAAATCTTGGACCTGCTGGTGACAGTCAGACAGTTTTAGGTATTTTTAATCTTATTTAGACATACTAATGTACACATACAATAAACATACTTAATATATATTCTATTAAAAACCTGCACTTACGATGTGTTATGTTAGGTGCTCAGTATATAGGAAGCTGTTGCTAGAAGCTGATTTCATGTAATTGCTTTTTTAATCTTTATTTGTGAAATGTGAAAAGTCCAAAAAAGAAACACAACACTAAATTCTGCATGTACTTGTATTTTGATTGACTGAATCCAAAGGCAAACAACTTGAATTCATTATTTGCAGTCCTGTATTACAGATGAATATTTCAAGGCAATCAAAAATTGAATGAGCCAACACGGTATGAATGTTTTATTTCAAATACCGGATCAAGAAGTATACATCAGATCATCACGTAACAACCAAACTACTATGCCTATATAGCACGCAACTTAATATGTATGAAGGTTTAACAATATCTACTTTTGTGCTATAAGGTATTGTATGTTTTCAGTGTAAAAGCAGAGTCAGTGACTTGTGAACCTGGTTTTGTGGTAAACACAACAAGATTTTCACAACTGATTATTTGTCACATTGGCCTGCTCCACAAACTCCAAAAATTAGCTTTTCAGTGATCTGATGTGTCTTTTTTCTCTCACTGGAACCAGCGGGGCAAGTTCCACTGGTTTTCATGATGGATGTTGTTTCACACAACTCTGAAATTCCTCATCTTTCCTTTCTATGTACAGTTTGTGTGAATGTGACAGTTTATGGTTTCGCCATTTTTAGAATATTTTAAAAGAAGAGTGGGCTACTTTCTACTTTCTACAGCAGAAGAGAGAGAACTCTGGTGGGATTTAGTCCAAGACGAGCAGGCGGTGGTGGTACACAGTCCCGGGGGGGTTGCTTCATGAATCAATTTTTGGAGTGACAGATTGGTTGGACACGCAGAAGCCTGCAATCGAAAAGGACACAAACATTTTGCTCATGATTATCTCACACATGCACACAGTATACAATATTTAAGTGTCTTAAACCCATGATAGCCTAAATATAAACATCTGTAATATAATTAGTGATGTTTAAGCTTTATTACTGACAAATGAGTTTTTGAAAACGTGCATCTTATCGTAAACAAATGAGGATTCAGTTGGTCTCACCAGTGTGTTCGACGCGTCTGTATTTGCCCAGCAGGCAGAGGTCCCTCTTCTTCTGCACGACATTGGGCTGGTCCTCCACCCTCAGACCGGTCGGATGACGAGAGAATATGAAGGAGTAGCTGTCCAGGCAAGTGCCGTCAGAGTCTATCAGTCTGCAGGAGTAGTGGATGGCGTAGTTGTCATAGTCGGTGTCAATCACCCAATGGTCATCGTCTGTGAGCAGAGAAGGGAGGTTGCAAAGGAAAGAGAGAGTTTAGATTGTTACCGAACCCTCTTTTATAGTTTGAGAACCATTTTTTTAAACTTTTGTGATACGTGCGAGGCCAAAAAAATAGTATGTACATCTCAGAAGTACTCTATGTTTCAGAAGTACTTTGATGTTTTGTATATGAAGGCTTTTTTGTTCACAAGATAAATACCGTTTCAAATTGAGGTAAAGATCTCTTTAACATTCGACTTGAATACTGACTCATGTAAACACACATAGAGGTACCCACTTTTTCTTTTTATCTAACTCTCATTATGCCATCATCATTGATCGGTGTTTGAAACTTCAGACTTTGTGTTTAGAAAAGATGTGCTTATCTCTCTTTCACATTGATTGTTTTCTGCTTAAAGTGGACTCGAGTACTTTAGTCAATCATTTACACAAAAACAGGGGTGGGAGTTATAAAAGAGTCCCATGACGGCATAATCAAGTAAACAGCTGATGCAATTATATCGATGGGTATTATGGGTAATACTACAATTGATACTGACAATGTAAGTTTACTTAAAAACACAAGAGTTTTGTCAGCACTGGGATGATGATATTCTAGAGATTGCATGTGATGTCAGAGTTATACACTCAATTACATCTGGACCCCCTCCTTGTAAGCATTCGGTTTGATTCATTCTCCAGGGTCAGGGTCACAGAGAACCAAGTGCTGCAGTTGATGATTAAAGTAAATCAATAGTTGTCTGGTGGTCAACAATCCCTTTTGCAATTTAAATGTCAGTGACTCCCGGCCGACAATGCCAAAAGCTTATGCTAATAAGGTGCCTGGCCGTAGATTAGTAGGTAAAGCCTTGAATTTATTGTTGTTGATTCCAGAAATCCATGTCAGAAATTCAAGTTAAGTCCTATTCAGGTATAAATGTTCCTGAACTTACTTCCAGTCTGCAGGTACGATGCAGCTCCCCAGTACTTCATCTTGAACTTGGCAGGGTCAGGAGTATCCTCAAAGGTGGCAAACATGCTGGCACACATTTCCCATTGGCTAGATGTCAAAGAGAGAGAGAGAGAAGGACATTACGAAAGATGAGATACAATGGATTAGATAAAGACTGAGTTAAGCATAGAGCATGCGGCACAATTGCACAGTCCCAGTGGGGGAAAGGCCAACCTTCACCGTAAAGAACAGAACTCACTTTAAAATGATAACTCTGCCCTCAGCAGTGGCAGTCATTTTGCCTTCAGTGTCGATATTAAAGCTCGCCACGATGTTGTCAAGTAAGAACAAACCTTCTGGGTCCTTCTTTCCTACGGCGTACCACGTCCCTGTATACTATGAGAGAGAAATCCAAGTGTAAGAGCACGTCGCTCCTCAATGCTTTTCATTAAAAGTAAAAGAACAAAATATTTACACAGAGTCTACTTAGTATTACATAAAATCCATTAAAGCAGAAGTTGTATTCCCCATACATCCCAAATCCAAAAAAAAACTACTACAAAGCAAATATAAACATTTCGATAGACCTAAATAAATCTCTTCACACTGCTCACCCTTGTCCTGTCAAAGTTCTGCATGACCTGGATGTTGGCCACCTGGCAGTCCTGGGCCCAGGAGAAAGCCAGGAGACAGAGGGCCACAACGTACCGCAGCATTCTACCTCAGAGGAAGGAAAAGGGAGCAGTGACAGAGAAGGACGTGTCAGCCACATTGTTCATTCAAGTGTCATACAACTCCCCTAAATATTTGCCGATATGCTACAAACGTTTGTGTGAAGAAAAACATAACTTCTGCAAAAGCACTTAATCCTTCATTTAAAATGTTCCATTCAAAATGTAAAAGTTAAAAAACAAGTCCACTGTCAATGCATACCTGTTTTTAAAGTGGAGAGCTCACAAAGATCCTGGCATAGCTGTGTCCTTATATACCGCTGGCTCGTATTGCGTAACATCTTCTGGAGATGTGAACCTCCCCTGCTCTCCCCACAGCTAGCTTGCCTTCCATTGGACAAACATTTGCATAACTGCAGCCCCCGGATGCTATTGATTTGTGTGTTCTGCACATTGATGTCATGAATCTAAGTGTTTTGCGTGCATGGACTCAATGAACCCCCCTCTATTTATGAGAAATACAGTATATGGATTGTACTAAAGACCTGCTTCAGCGCTTTCTGGTGTACCAATAACATGTTTCAGTGGGTGTGCACGTTTTCCGGCAGCATCCATATGATTGCATCACCCGTTGACTTGATTTTTGCTACCGACTGACCCTTTTTGGACTGTATTTGTATAAATGGTGGCCAAAGTGCACTTTAAACAAAAAAAATATAATCAATGTGAAAGAGAGATAATCACGTCGTGTCGAAGCACAAATTCGGGGGTTTTAAAACACCATCGATGATGTTTAGATAATGTGACTGAGCTCAGAATACTTGTGAACGAACATGTTTTTGTGTACTTCTGTACGTGTCGAAAACAAAAGACGAGTCCAAGAGAGCTAAGCGAGCTAATGCTAATGGCCCCATGTGATGTAATCGCATGTGTACAAGAACCTCTTTATTTACCAGACCAGGGTCAAACAGCTTGTGTCAGTGTTTTGTTCTGCTGTTCCAGGTTTGTGCGACAAAACAGCATCACTCACAGTACAAACATTAGGAGAAATATAGTAACTACTCTCTAATACACCTGGCTTAAATCTACTGTGGCAGGCTTTTTATAAATTGATGCTGTTATTTTACGCTGAGCTCATGTAGCCAGTCCTCTGAGGGTTTTGATTGAATAAAAAGAGCACAGCACAGCCAAACATCTGCAGCTTGCATAACCAAAGCCCCAGCCAATGGAAAACAGGACAATCACTCATTTTCAGCCGAAATAATAGCAGCTGGAATTTGGCCAGAGGCAAGATTTCATAATCGTGAAGATTGGCTGAGAAACTCTATATACGATACGCCGCCAGGCTTCTGCATGCATTCTATATTTTGTGGGCAGTATAGTGGTAAATGTAAGACTCGGTTTCTTGTTTTCATGTGGTGTGAAACTTAAGTTTTAAGTGGGATTAGGCAAACAACCTCATTGTTAAATACACTGCTTTGGGGCTTTAAAGAAGGCAATGATATAACAGTGAAGTAGTGTTTTGTCCACTCACCGAAATATGATTTAGCAATTTAAATAGATTGTACCGGTGTAGTTTATAAACTGAAATTACTTGATGACACAGATTAAACATTGTGGAGACTGCACCAAGTTAATTGCATCACTTAAGGTGTTTTTAAAAACGAATTAGTTTTAGTTATGAATAACATAAAGAATTGTATATAAGGTTAAGTTTAGGACGTTTTCATTCATTGTCTAAGCAAGGCTGTGCAAGATGGAGTGTGACATTGTTCCTCTTGCAAATAAAGAGTTGAATTCATAAGCAATAAAGCAAAGTGCTCAGTTCAATGCCCTCACATGTTTTGGTGATACAGCCTTATGTGGTCTGGTATGACCAGTAGCCTATGATGGCCATGTTGCCTTATTCTAGCACACTCTAGAACTATTGCTGTGTGTCTGACATCACTGTGTCCGTTTGCTGACTGTTTACATTTGGTCCCATTCTCATCCCTCTCAGGTCATCATCGATTGGTGTCTTTAATGCAACCGGTTTAACTGAATCTTGAGAAATATAAATAAATTCAATGTGCCGTCATTCTATAGTTGCTTCTTGTAGCCGCTGTTTCGTAAAAATGACATAATCTCAATTTAATAGGTAGTCAAAAAAACGCACCAAATTAATTAAAAATCTCTTCATTCTAGCCTACTACATAAATTTGTTAACAATGAACACAATCAGGAAAAATACTGATATAACTCAATTTTATTAAAGCTAGGGTTGGTAATCTTGAAAAACTTGGCAAAAGTAGGCCAGATTTTTGACAATATCCAAACGAAAAACCCTAGCCCAGTGTTGCAAACTCTTTCTAATGATAGTGGCTAGCAGCACTGTAGCTCCAGCAGTCGCTAAATCTAGCGAGAAAGTCAGCAACACTGAGAGCTCATCCCTTCGGGTCTCCCTCCAAAAACACTCCCTCAAAATGATTGTAATGAATGGAAGAACATGGCTTAGTACTCACAGCTGTTAAGCTAGCAGCCTAATGAGAGCAGAGTAGGCACAGGCAGGTGAATGGACGGCTTTATTACAGCCCCGCGATAGCCACAGATACTGGATCTTGTTTTTCCAGAGCATTTGATTCATTGATTGCTGTCAGGATGGAATGAGAATTTCAACAAAAAGATGAAAGATGATTTTTGAAGATCACCAAACCTACTTGTAAACTAGAAAACAAAATATTGGAACTATCAGAAATATGTAATTATTCATCATATTCATCAATATATTTGTCTTGCCTCTGTTTTTCCTCTCTCACGCACTAACATCCAACTAATTTCTCCTGCTGTGAAATGAGCTGCTCTAATTGGTTTCCACTATGTCTCACATCCACACACACACACACACACACACACACACACATCCACACACACAAACACACACACACACAAACACACACCTTTTGTAGTTCTCCCTTGATTAGCTTGCCTTAATCCCTACGACAAAAGCTAGTGGGGAACTCCTCATCTTGCCAGCCTGCCAGCAGCTAACCAGACAGTGCACTCAGTTAATAATAGCCAGCCATCTTTGTTTAGGGCTTTGTTCCCAGACAACCAAGTCCAACTAATTGGCCAATTTCCAGTTCTGGGACAGATACCTCCATGATGATGGAGATCTAATTAGAGCACACAGGTAAAGGCTGCTCACACATTTACCAGTGCCATTATGGCTCTGAACTCCACCGCTGCCAGTGGCTGACATTATTTCGGTACATCCTCCTCCGTAGCAACAACAACAACAAGGATCGAGCAGTGGTCATACCTAACACTAGGAAGTTAGGCTACCTGAGGCAAAGGAAACCAGATATAATGTCTCCTGCTTGCTGAAATTGCTCATCAATACGTGTTGGGATACCACATTGGATATTTGACTAATTGGAACAGAAGGCTACTGGTGTAAGTCCAGTACCTGGGCTAGTGGTTGGACTTAGGTATCGCTAAGGTGTCCCAGTGTCATGTATAGGGATAACTAAGTGGATTGGTGAAACCAACCTGAACCACTGAGGTAGTCTATTGTTGCCACTGTTGTTTCTTCAGTGTTGTGTGTCCACAGACGTCGTTGGTCTTCAGCATCCTTTCACACCCTCTCCTGGTGTAGGCAACCCGACATTTCACCTGAGGGCAGCCCAACTCTCTCACTTGTCGCCCGATATAAAATGATCTGCGTTGGGATTTGCGGGTTAAAGACGCTTAGAGCAGAGGTTTTAATGTCATGACGTCACATTAATTAGCGGCCACTCTGATCCTTTCAGCCTCTAAGCCGCGCTGTCTTATTCTGTCTGTCGGTGGACACGGGATGTGTCACTGACTCCCTCGGGGACCGTGGAGGAGAATGCTACTGATCCACCCAACCCTGTAGGCCACAGCACAGCTTTCCCTCTCCATTTTGACTTGCCCCCGCAGGTGATGCTTTTGTGAAAAAGAGAACGGGAATATACAACACTACTCGAGTTCAAAATGGCAGACAAGGACAGCGTGGAGAAATACTTGGAGAACAACCCGCAGTTCGCCAAAGAATACTTCGATAAGAAGTTGCGCGCTGAAGCCCTGGCCGCCGCCTTTACTGAGACTCTCGACATCAAAGACACCGCTTCCTTCAAGGATGTTAACTCTGTGCAGGAGGCCGCCATCATCTTCGAGCTGGTCCAGGAGTTGCAGAAACAGGGAAAGATGGAGGAGTCCCTTCACAAAGTGATGCAAAGAGTTGCCCTGATCTTACAGGCCGACAGGGTCGGTTTTTACATCAACCGAGCGAGAAACGGAATACCCGAGCTCTCCTCTTGCCTCTTCGACGTGACGCCAACATCCAAATTTGAGATAAACATGGTGAACCCGCAGAGTGAAATCGTGTTCCCTCTCGATATGGGCATCGTCGGATTAACTGCGACTTACAAAAAGCCACTAAACATACCTGATGTCTCAAAGGTGAGAAGTTAGGCCATGCCCGAGCTCCGTAGAGCGCGCGCTCTCCAAGAAAGTTGTGTGTGCGTGACTCTGAAGCTGTCAAACATTAAGTGGAGATGTGTTCCTTGTTTCTGCGATGTTATTGGTGAAAATTGCCCCTATAGTATCGGTGGGTCTTTAAAAACAAATCTTCTTTATGTGCTTGGTTAATTGTTAGCTGATGGTTGTGTGCTAGAGTGAAGGCTACACAACATGTTGTCCGTAAAGTAGTTGCCTGTAGTTAAATTACCACCACACTTGTTTGTGTTCACTGTGGAATCATGGACATCATTTTGCATTTTGGTCGACTTATGTTTATTTGTAGCCTAACATACATGATGAGTTCCTTGCTGTTGTTGCTTTGACGATAAATAGCTTCAAATACTGATATTTAAATATATTTGTGATACACAACTGTGATGCAATGATTAGTGATAAAACACATTGAGGGCAAGGGTTTTATCTTACTTCTACATGTTCCTGTAGTTTTATGACTTCTTTTTATTATAAGCATCAGTTTTAGCTTCAAGATTCACAGAAAATATTAGAATCATGTTTGAATTCATTAATACCAGCCCTTTTAGGCATCAATTGGACTGTCAGAGTAGTTAGCTGAAGAATATTAAGATATACTACTTACCCATCTTGAATGCAGCATGAATGTCTTCTGCTTCCAAGTGTGGCCAATACTCAAATACTGATGACTGAATAATCTTAGTTTATTTAATTAAAAGTAAGATCAGATAACATGCTGCCCTCTATTATGTGTATGTTAGATACATGCGATTAATGAGCGTATGAAGCCATTTAACTGTATAGAATAGTGTAATCCTGCTGTTTTACATAAGTGTTTCATATCCCCCTGGATTCGACCAAACCTGACTTGGAAGTTTTTCTTTTTTTCCCCAAAACAGAATCCAAAGTTCTGCGACTTTGTGGACAAACAGACTGGATACAACACCAAATGCATGCTCACTTTCCCTCTGATGGCTGAAAAAGAGTGCCTTGGAGTCATCATGGCACTAAACAAAATAGGAGCTGACTCGTTCTCTGCGGAGGATGAGAAGGTAAGAGAGTATACACTCAGACAGTCACTCTTATCCGCAGTGATTTACTGAGTGAGCTGGAACAGGGTTGTGTTTTAGACACTCTTTCAGTCATAAATTAACTTGAATTTGAGCAGCTAAAGTACACCATATTTTTTAAGGAATGTATGCCACATTAAAAAGCCTGCGTCTGCCATTTGAAATTTGCGAATAAAAGATTGCTGCATTTACATCTCACCAGTAGGGTGTAAAACCCTCCAATTATGTCAGTGGGAGCCAATCAGACCTGAGTGAACTGATTTGGCTGCTTTTGAACATTCAACTTGAATAAAGGTGTAATGAGATAACTGTGAATATGTTATCTCTTTAGAATATAAAGGAAAACATTCATACGGTTATTTAGAATCAGTAAACTCCCACCGGGGCAAAGGATAAACTGGGACAGATGGAAATGATGTTTTCACCGACTCTTGCGGTTATAATGTGAATCAAAGCAACTGAAAAAGAGAGAAAGGATCTAAAGAGTGGCAGAAATGATGCAAATGCTTTAACAGCTAAGGTGCAAAACGGCTGAAACTTCAGTGTTCTTTGTGTCTAGGTTTATACTTCTCTTTCTCTTTACATATTATCTCCAAAAACCTTTAAGAAAAACACAAATATTTGTGTAATTTGTGTAAAGATTAGCCAAAAGTGGACTTAAAAGACGGTATGAAGTTTGACTTGCAAGAAAGAGTTGTGTTTATGTCTGTTTTATTGAATCCATCAAATTAAAAATGTAATTCTTAGGATACTCTAAACGCCCAACATGCTATTTTACAGTTCACTGTTAATGACAAATCCCAACTTTGCTGTGGGAAATGTAGCCATATGGAACCATGCTTCTACCAGCAATCTTTAATCTGCTGTTGTGTATTGATGAAACCTCTAATCTCATTTGGTCATTAGCTCTTCCACAAGTACATGAACTTTGCCCAAGTCATCAGCCTGCAGCATTACACATCCTACATGTTCAACGTGGAGTCCAGAAGGAGTCAGGTAAACTGAATCTCCCACCACTAGGCATCGATGAATACTCTTGTCCCTGTTATTTACCTGTTGGTGTTTCTAATGCACCGAACAGAGCTCATACTACATGCCATAGCTAAACATTTAATCACCCACATGCATTGCTTGTTCTTTCTCTCGTAGGTGCTTCTCTGGTCGGCCAGTAAAGTGTTTGAGGAGTTGACAGACATTGAGAGACAGTTCCACAAAGCGCTCTACACTGTAAGGGTCTATCTACAATGCGAACGATACTCAGTGGGCCTGTTGGACATGACCAAAGAGAAGGTTGGTCTTGCAGAATCAGATTCAGTTTCGCTCACAGGATTGAATAGGTAGCATTCATGGCTACGGGCCTAAATAACTTTTATTGCCTGTGGGTTTTTTTTCCTGCAGGAATTCTATGATGAATGGCCGGTGAAACTGGGAGACGTGGAACCCTATAAAGGACCCAAAACGCCAGATGGCAGGGTAACAAACTAACGTTTTTCTCTTTTTTTTTTTAATTCAGTTTTTGTGACGTGTCGCACTTTAAATCTGACTCGCTTCATCTTTTTATTGTCTAAGCTGAAGATGAATCAATAAATTCTAACAGGCTTCTGCTTTTTTTACACAGGAAGTCATCTTTTACAAGATCATTGACTACCTCCTGGAAGCCAAAGAAGAAATCAAAGTCATACCGTGAGCATCCACTCAAACGAAATACAGCATTTAAAAAAACAGATGAAATTCAGTCACTTGGGATAAAAAATAATAATCAAAGACCAATGTTCACATTTTTTTAAATGTCTTTATTTTAAAATAAAAGTTCTAACTCAGTATCAATACAAATCTGATCTTCCACTCAAATTAACAAAAATATAAATACGTGAAGCATTCATGCTTGTCCGCAGACAAATGGGGGTTTCTGTTATTTGGGTATGGTTTCTGTAGAGGCAGCATAATGCATAATGAGAGTCAGCATTGTTGAACTTGCTTCTCAGAGAATAACTCTGTATTTTTCTCCCTTTCACACTTTTTCAGGGGTCCACCTGCAGATCACTGGGCTCTAGTTAGCGGCCTACCGACATATGTTGCAGAGAATGGCTTCGTAAGTCTCTCACTGTTGCTGCAGGGCAGTTTATTATGAGAATGACTTGAATTATAAAAGCATAAAAAAACATATCTACATATGTAATATAGTAACATAGGAAAGTAGTGAAACAAAGGGCGCAGGAACACATTTAGTGCAATGTTACAAACAACAGGGAAATGACACTTCAGTAGGAATGCTGTGCATGAAGTGACTTGGTGCAGTTATGAGTCAATTTATGGCACTGAATACAGTAATCAACACAGCTTAGATAAAAAACTGAATTTAATCATTTTCATTTATTAAATTCCAATTGTTTCTGCTGTCGTAGAAAGTTTAACATATTGCGACAAACATACTAAAATACCAAGTAAATAAAACATGATTGATAATAATTAAACAGACAAATATTCTTTTATTATTTAGACAAAAGATTGATCAGAAACAGCAGCTGTGAGTAATATTGACGAAGTGCCAGACTTTAACATTGTTGTGTCGTGTGTCTTCCTGCAGATTTGCAACATGATGAACGTGGCTGCAGATGACTTCTTCACTTTCCAGGTGAGGAGACTTTTACTCTCCACCCACATAAAGGATGCACGCAGCAACACACACCAGCGTCGGTTATGACACACTTTCTCACATTAAGACCCTTCCCTTTACAATATGCAGTTTCATATATTTTGTATATCCTGTTGTGTTATGCTCGTATTGAGGAAGAATGGTTTAAAAACGAATCGCGAGGTCTAAATATTTTCATTTTAACGTCTTTCAGAAAGAGGCTGTGGACGACACGGGTTTTGTCATCAAGAACGTTTTGTCGCTGCCCATCGTCAACAAGAAGGAAGAAATTGTGGGCATCGCCACTTTCTTCAACAGGAAAGACGGCAAGCCATTTGATGAACACGACGAACAGATCACTGAGGTCAGCGCCATGCGTTCTCTCTCTCTTTATATTTTCTGTCGCCATTCTTCAGATATCACGTCTGTCTTGCGTGCGGACACATACATTGGCATGTAAATGAAGAAAAAAGTTGCTTCTTGCTTGGTTGTCTATATTTTCTCTCGTTCCCTTCTCACTCTCGTTGTTTCCTCCAGGCCCTGACACAGTTCTTGGGTTGGTCAGTGCTGAATTGCGACACATATGACAGGCTGAACCGCATGGAGTACAGGAAAGACATCGCCCAGGAGATGCTCTTGTGCCAGACCATGTGCACCAAAGCTGAGATACAGTCCATTCTGGTCAGTATCAAACCCGTGTCTTTCCTCCACGTTTTCTCTCCAGAAGCCTAACCTTTGATCGCTCAGCATTTGATCAAGAGGAGACTCGGGCAAGGGATTAGAAATAGTCAAAGGTTATTGTGCCATGAATAGCTATTTGAGTAGCAGTCCTCCATAATGACCTATTGGAGGGCTAATAAAAGGTCTGATGGAGACAATGACACAGCAGTTACTGTTTAGAGCCCTTGTCTGAAATTCCAGCTGTAAATACCTGTGGGTGATGGGTTCATGGGTTCAATGTAAATGCCATTATAACTTCTTGTTCTCTCTTTTTTTTAACCAGAACACCAACGAGAAGTTCGACGCAGAGCCTGAAGACTGCGAACAGAAAGATATGTACAAACTGTTGGTATGTGTTGTTTGAACCTTGACGACAAAAACAACACTCCAATGAAATGAAACGCTGTGACACATACGATTATTACTCACTTATCAAAGCTTAAATGTATGAATAAGACTATGAATTTGCATATTGATTCACTTAATTCATTTATATCAGCATTATTCAGGATCTTAGGAATGGACTTTGGAAAGCTTCATTTATTTTCAATCAAATTAAATTTGATTTCAAAATGTAAAATATTCAAAAAAAAATGTTCTTGACTGTTAACTGCCGTGAGACTGACGTTGTGGTCATCGGTACTTTTTGAGTATTGAATGGTTCATGGGTGTTTTTTTTCAGAGAGCGACCTGCCCACCAGCTGACAACGTCAACGGAGAGAATCTGTACCTGTTCTCCTTCAGTGACTTCCCCGTCTCAGAGTTCGACCTCATCAAAGCCGGCATTCGCATGTTCTTTGAGCTCGGAGTTGTTGAAAAGTTTAAAGTTCCCGCAGAGGTGAGTCACGTAGTCGCAGGCGCTTACTTCGATCTGTCTGCCCCTCACAGGATTCTCTTCCTGGTTTCTGGCGGTGCGTACGGCATAGTATTGCGAGATGCTGCTCATTGTCCGGCTGTCTTCTGTTTCATCCAGACTGGGGATTTTAATAGTATTTATTTGAAAATGCATATAAAAAAAAAGTGAGCAATCGATAAAATCAGATTTTCTTAAAGAAATTTGAAATGCAAACATATAAATCATGTGAATCACTTCTCCCTCCGTCCCTCCCTCCCTCCCTCTCAGACGCTGGTCAAGTGGATGTACACAGTGAGGAAGGGTTACCGTAGCATCACCTACCACAACTGGAGGCACGGCTTCAACGTAGGCCACACCATGTTCTGCCTGCTGCAGGTAAGGCCCTGCACGACATCTGCAGAATCGACATTAAACCCAACAGCTCACAAAAATGAGTCGTCTCGTGTCTTTTCTTTCTCCGCTTCACAACTTGTCCGTCTCTTGCAGACAGCAGGTGATGCTGATAACTTTTACGCTACAGCTCGCGTAACACAATACATGTGGTGACAGTTTAAGAGGCCGCTAGGTTTACGAGAATGAGTGAACCACCTATATCGGCTTATGACACGTTTTATTTCATTATAAAGCTAATTGAAAATTGCACCAATCCAGGTAAAATATTGTCCACTCCACATTCAGCAATTATTATGACAGGAGAGCATCACAGATAATTAAAATGAGCATTGATAGTGCCCAATATCTTTCTATATTTGAATGGTCTAGAAACAGGCTGCAAATGAGAGCACAGTTTTTTTTTTTTGTTTTTTTTTTATCATTGACTGAACTGTTTGTGTACTTTCATGGTGGTTACAATCTATAGCCACTCCCCCAAACACCGGCACATGATAATCCATGATTTATCTCTTCTGCCTACAGACAGGGAGGCTGAGGAAGTACTACTCTGATCTAGATGCCTTTGCCATGGTGTCTGCTGCTTTCTGCCACGATATCGACCACAGAGGAACCAACAACCTCTACCAGACAAAGCAAGTCAAAACTGTAATATAGTTCTGTATCTGTGCTTTGGAAGCATGGGCATGTGTGTGACCTGGGTGCTTTTCTTTTTTTCTTTAGGAGTTCGTCTCCTCTGGCTAAACTTCATGGCTCCTCCATCATGGAGAGGCACCATTTGGAGTACAGCAAGACGCTCATGGGTGAAGAGGTACGACAAATTACACGGACAATAAATGTAAAAATGGCAGACTTCAGAGGTGGCACACACATTTTCTCACCGCTCTTTCGTCGTCTCTCGCAGAGCTTGAACATCTTCTGCAACCTCCAGAAGCAGCAGTTTAAGAACGTGCAGCACTTGTTTGATGTCTGCATCATCGCCACTGATCTGGCCCTTTACTTCAAGTAAGTTCTTTGAAATACTCAGACTGGCTTATTAAAGCTGATGTTGCTCAAAGGTTTTAGCTGCCGCCGGTCTATGTTCATCCGTCTACTTGTGTGTTTTCCTTTTGACTGACTCTGTAGGTTTCATGGAACCAATGTGTGTGTTTGCTTAGTGCAGTTGGTCTGACTGATTGTTTATCTGCTATATCTCATCACGCAGAAAGAGAACCATGTTCCAAAACATTGTAAATGCCACAGAGCCAATGCCAGAAGAAAAAGAGGCCATTGCCTACATTTCCAACAACAGCACCAGGAAGGAAATCGTGATGTATGTACCTGATTCAAGCCCAAGATAATACAGCGAACAAAATGTATTTGCGGATAGATTTGTGAAACAGAAGACCCTTGCATCATCAGCAGCAGGGTGTCGTATTGCCCTACCTGACTGTCTGTCTCTCTATCACCTCCAGGGCCATGATGATGACAGGTTGCGACTTGTCAGCTATCACCAAACCCTGGGAGGTACAGAGCAAGGTGGGTGGCCTTCACAGCCTTCACATCTGCTGATTGAAAAATATATATAGAGTGACATTTTTCATGTAACTTTGTTCTGCTCAGACCAACTGAGCTTGAAATATGTTTGGTTTTTAGCTCCATTACTTTAGATTTATTACATCCAGAAAATATAATAAGGCTGCAGTTATTAGGCCGTATGTTTTTTGGGTTGTCCGTCCATTTGGGTCCATTTTTGTAAACGAGATATCTCTTTAAATTCGGCGCAAACATCCACTTGGACTCAAGGATTAACTGATTTTGGAGGTCAAAGGTCAAGGTCTTCCATTTTTTTGTGATATCTCAGGAACACCGTGATCTAATTTTCTTCAAATTTGGCACAATCATCCACTTGGACTTAAGGATTAACAATCATAATTTGGTGTTTAACGATCACCGTGATCACCAAACACAAGTGTTTTGGCCATAACTCAAGAATTCATACGATGATTATGACAATTCCAAACACATCTTGTCTAATGGGATAGCTATTGAAAATGTTGGACAGGCATGGACGTAAACTGCAACATGACTGATTGGTAGAGGCATACAACCACAAGGTGGTAATTCTAGTTTTCGTTTTGAAAATAATATTAGAACAAGTGTAGAAGAAGATAACACAAGATAAAAGAATGTCCTTGTTCATGTTTGCTTCTCATTTGCAATCATTTCCTCCCAACATTTATCCTTAATTCCCTTGTATCATTCTTTGTTCCTCTTGTCTGTTTCCCTACAGGTTGCTCTGATGGTAGCTGCTGAATTTTGGGAACAAGGAGATTTGGAGAGATCTGTTTTGGACCAACAACCAATTGTAAGGTTCATACCCCTCTTGTGCCTTCTCTTCCTTTCACATTACTATTTTCTTTTAGGTTTCTCAGGATTGCTCTTCTTTTCAAACACTCCCCTCTGTCTCTCTCAGCCCATGATGGACAGAAACTGTTCCGAACAGCTACCCAAGATGCAGTGTGGCTTCATCGACTTCGTATGCTCATTTGTGTACAAGGTAAGAAACAGCTTTTTACGTTTGCGCAACAGAAAAATGAGGAGTATGATTATTACACACACTGAAAGGGAGGTGATGGTTTCAAGATGGATCTCAAGGCGAGAAAAAGACACATGGGTTTTGCAAGAAGGGAGTCTGGCCTGTGCTCTGTGTTGCAACAAATTATCTGTAACTGCTGGAATTTAAACACAGCCACAGGCCAAGAGGGGCATAACAATCTAATCCAGCTACTATCTGATTTTGCTTTCCAGCAAAGCGCCATAAAAAACATATTTTGCCCACGAGTTGTTTTGATTCAGTTTCAATCCAATACATTTTTATACTTTCAAAGAGCGCAAGCTCTACAAATGTAAAATATAAAAGTAACTAACTCAAGTCATTAACCTCACCCTGAGGCCCTAGTTTGAAGTGTGACTTCTATTTTCCAAGGCTATAACATTTATTTCCAAGCTCACCTCCGACTGTGCAAACTGTAAAGCCTGCTGCGGATGATACATTGTTGAAAAGACAGAGAGGTGTGGATTCAACTCAGTGGTAATAGAGCACTTTGTAGATGGGAACAGAAAACAGCATGCACGCCAGATCTATATAGGAGAAAATTACCAGAGAGTGAAATCATTTCTCACATTATTTTATAACTTTACAGAGGTGTTGTTGTAGCTTCAACCACCTTAGGTTGGATCACAGGATGTAGAGCAAAGAACCTGTTGAACCCAGCAGGCCCCAAGAGGAATGCCAGCTCGCTGTTTTTCAGGATGGTATCTGGACAGGAAGACACACATCCATATAAATCAAGATGTGTCAGTCGTCCCTGCGGACTTCTGCTCTAAAAGGGAAATGATGTATTTGCAACACCAACATTTCCCTTCCTTTTAAGTTCTTCTCCCTCAATGTGGACAACATATTTACACCGTGTATTCTTTACCAGGAGTTCTCCAGGTTCCACAAAGAGATCACGCCCATGTTTGATGGTCTGAACAACAACAGGGCACAATGGAACGGGCAGGCTGAGGTTTACAATGCAAAGATGAAGGTCATTGAGGATCAGAAGAAGAAACTGGAAGAAGATGAAGCCAAGAAAGGTATAAAAGAAAAATCTGTGTAAATTGGTCCAGTTGATGGCCTGATAGAAGATCAAGATCCTGTTTTAATACTTCTTTCTATTTGTGTGTGTTTATCTAGCCGGTGGAGATGCAAAGTCAAAGACCTGCACCGTCTGCTAAGTTCCTACGGTGCTTGGATCTGGACTGACGTGGTCCGGTTAGGACTAATCTAGCCTATTCTGGTCTGACAACTAGTCTAGTCGGAGCTTGACTAGGCCAGCTTGGTCTGGTCTGATCTACACCAGAGTAGTTCTCTCTGGTTAGGTGCTGTCCGCTCTGGTGCGGTCTAGTCCAGCCCTATTTGGTCTGGTCTGGTTCAGTGTAGCCTACTTTAGTCTAGTGTATTCAGGTCTGGTCTGCGGTCCCGTGTGCAGTCAGCCTTACTGTTCTCCAAGGAGGGAAGAGTCGGCAACATCACCAAGAAGTAATGTTGGGACTGCGAGAGAAGCCTGTTTGACTCAGAAGATGTGATGTATTTGAAACTTCCTCCTTCAGGCAACCAAGAACTTAAAAAAATATATATATACATGGACAACGTATATTTCCCTTTTTAATATAATCGATAGCAATAATCAAAACATTCCTGACACGTATGGTTTGAAACCATGGTTGGATAAGTTCAGAAGCTGTAAGACAATGTTCCAAGTCAAACTCTTCGGTATAAATAGCTAAACTAGGGGACAGCATGTGCTGTACGTGGTGTGTGTGTATGCATGCCAAAGCAATAGTTTTCACACAGCGTTCCCATTGGCAGTCGGTTAGCACACGGTACAGTAGTACTGTAGGTTGCACAATGCACTTAGCTGCTGCTGTTTTGGCAGTGGCAGGCCATGAGTGGAGGGCGGGTGGGCAGGCAGGTTCAAATGACCTCATCACTTTATACTCACTGGGATCAGAGGAATGGGTTTAATATTCTGTTTTTTGGTTAATATTTAAAGTAGCATGAGTTGTGGAATTAATTCCTCGAACACTTGAGAACAGAAAATCTGCAATCCGAAGGAACTTTTAGTGCTGTATAACAAAACCTCGAAGCTCAGATACAGCGAGTGACGGCGTGCATTCAACTAAGGGCTGATGTTCTCTTACCTCAAAAGGCGCTGATGAGCTGTGTGAGGGTGTATTTATTTTAATATGCAATCTATCTATATACATATATTTTTTTGGATTCTTTGTCTGACCATTTTGTACTTGAGCTGTCTTCACGCATGGAGAGTTTGAGATGAGTTTTGCGAACTGGGCGTTCTGAATTTGTGAGCAAACGCACGCTAAAAATCACATTTCAGGCCTCTAGCAAATGTATTGACTTTGTGCAACTTTTATTGTCAGCTTTGAAAAACACCTGTAAGCTGTTATCCTTTATGTCCAACGGCGTGGAAAAATAACAACAACAAACTTAACATGCATGATATTTAAAACCAGCGTTTAGAGCCACATCGATTCAAAACTTACTTTTTAAATGTGCACGATTTCACATGTATATAGTCAATTACATAGCAATTGTAAAATATAAATTGTGTAAACTTAAGAATAACTGAAGTGTAAAACTAATTCGAAAGTATGTACTAAAAAAAAAAAGCAACCTTTCTTCTAAGGAGTCAAAGTCAGTCAAACAGGGCACCGTAGATCTGCCTCTCCTGTAAGAAGATTGGATAGGATTTGATTTGATTCCCAGCCAGCGTTTGAGATCCACACAGCTTTAGACTTTAAATACCCTTCTTACAGAGGAGGAAAGCAGGCTACCAAAGCCTTGTATGCATGTGCAGACAATTTGTGTTTAAAATGTGGCAGATGCAGATCCATAGCATCATTGATTGTATGGTGGTACAGGCCAAAGTCCTCTGTTTCTGTCTTCACTTGATGCAACAGTGTGATGAATCGCGCAATAGCTGCCGTTTGATGTCAAGCTGTATTGAACTTGATCTGGTCAGGCATCTGAGTTGACAGCGCCCCCCCCCCCCCCCCCAGTGCGCCTCCTGAAGCACTTTTAGAAATGAGCCACCCCGGAGCAAAGGCAAGTTGCGCCTCTCGACTTCCTGTTGCACAATGTCTTCTCCTCTAATCAACCGGGCATCAATCAAAGGCACTTAATCCTATCAGAAGGGCTTTGGGACTACCTGGAAACTCCTTTTCTGCTGCTGGAGGTGAAGCGAGGAGCTGTTGTGGTCACTGGAGACCTGTGCAGAAGCATTCACTGAAAGCAATACGTTTTCACTATTTAACCATGAATTTACCTCATTGTTCCTGCTGCACACAGTCTTTCTCCAAATAGCCCCTCGCTTTACCTTTTAAGGATCCTTTGTGAGATACCAAATAACGCTCCACTTATCCCATCAACTGTCTTTTACAAATTAGAAATCTGTCATTTGACATACGAGGCGACCTCTACTGTATGTATGTGTCATGAAATATAATATGTGTAAGCAAATAAAGGAATTTATGGAAGAGTAAGAATAGAGGGAATCACTTTTTCTCAACATGGAAATAGGTGATACTTTATCTCTTATTAGAATGAACTTAAGAAACCTTGGGCTTAGCCGCTACAGCGCTCGTTCTTAGTCATATATCGTGCAGGGATCTTAGAGGCTCCAAAGCTGGATGAGCCTCTGGGGGAAAGAGGATCAGTGGATTGGTTCTGATCCCTGCTCGATACAATGTTGTCTGGCTATTTTCTTCAACATCCTGCCCGTCTGCAGAAAACTGTGGTGTTCATGTCATCGTTTCAACATGTATACGATCGTTTAGAAGACAGAGCAACAATGCTGCAGCAGTGCAATCCAGTGTGTGTGTGTGTGTGTGTGTGTAGTTTGAGTGCAGGATGCTTCAGAGGTTTCTGCTGACAAGATGGAACGTTTGACGAAAGAACAGACAACAAGCCGATGATCTATCATTCCTCAAACCCCTGCATCAACATGACCTGTCGTCTAGGCTGGACCCTCCCCCCCATCACCTTTCTTCACAAACTAAACTAAAGGTGCTCAACTTATTTACATATCTACATATTCAAAGATTCTGAATTTTCAATGAGAGAGAGTAGATTTAATTTTAAGAATTTTAAACTGACTAATTCTACCTTTTTCTTTTGAAAAGCCACATAAGAAACAAATGGCATGTGGCAGGAAGAGGAGCTTTACATTTTAAAAAGTTGTTCTTTGGGATTTATAAATTCCTCCCAGGACATTCACAAGGGCCCTAAATGGGTGCCATGTGAAGGCAAGAATCTTTAACCGGGAAAACAGATGGTGACAGCACAATCGATCAACTGTAAATGCATCCAGGTGTACAAGTATAGCCAAAGGGGCCAAATCACATCCCACCGCCACTCGAAAACAACCGACCGTTATTACTCAATGTACATTTTACTACACTTGACCACCTGTTGGCTAAACACTGCCATAAATCATTTCTCCTGAGAAAGCAGAGAAGTTAAAACAAGACAGACAGAGCAGAAAGAAGTCAAGATACTGTCTCTATTTAAGCCTATAGGTCTATAATCTCCCAGCAACCTCACGCAGTTTCCTTCTCTGCCAGTTGAAGTTGAGGCAGCAATCTGCCGTTGGGCAGAGGGACATCTTGAGCTAATCCCTGTAACAGCAGAGTGCTGGACTCTTTACTATTACTAAAGATAAGGCTATTTCAATTCTTTTTTTCCCTTGCACAGGAAAGTACTCTGCAAAATATACCAAGTGCAGATTCAATTGACAAGAGAAAACTGAAAGTTTAGGCAATTCTAACATATTAAAACAAGACTAGCAGCCAAGTGTGACGTCCCTCCAACGTCCTTGGAGGCTGACATAGGAGGGTCATCAGCTGACTGACCTCACCTGGGCTTTAGGCTATGCAACCTGGCCCTTTTGCTCTCCGTTTCTCCCTTCCCACAGCTTACATTGTAAGCTGCATCGCTTCATTTCGGTCTGCACTTTCATTGCCGACATGGCTGCTACGCAAACTGAATTGCTCATTTGTGATGACCTTTGTTTTAATTATTTACTCGTTTTAATTATAACCTTGCATGGACTCGCTCCTCGTCACATTCCCTAAACAAAGTTGTGACGAATGGCTCTGCATTGAGCTAAAATGCTGATGTCATGCTCACAATGACATTGATAACATGCTGATTTTAAAACAGGCATAAGGTTTGCCATATTCCTATCAGCATGTTGGCATCTAAACTTTGACAAATACTAAATGTACAGCTGAGGCTGATGGGAATGTCAAGAAACTATTCCCAGAGGCTATTTTTAAGCGCAGGTGTAAATAATGAAACTAACGATGAAACTATTTTCAATCACTTTTCTCCGTGATAGCGGTGGGATTGACAGACACGTAGAACCAAAGGCGTATGCAGGGTAAACCTCGTGTTTATTTCTGCAGCAGTCCTTAAACATATAATCAAATAAAGCAACAAGTACACAAGACTCTATACAGAACATGATGTCAGTGGCCCGCAGGAGGAAGTGTAGTCACAGCAGGGCTCCCGCTGATACCGGCAGAGTCAAAGAAACATGTCTTCAAAGTAATCATCAAACTCCTCCTCCCTAGAAACGATGAACAAAATGAGAGAAATGTTAGTTCCTTCCATGCACAGTGCTGACACGGACTGTTGAATACATTGTACGTGCGGCCCCTGACTAACTGGATGTGTTGGTGCATGAGTTTTGTTCATATAGTAAATAAAAACGTTCAGTAATATATCTTTCTAGCAATTCCCATGTCAGAAGAAGCTTAACAGGGGCAGGTTAAAAGTTAAGTGACTTTCAGTTCAGAACTGCTTTGTGTAGAGTATCTCAGGTCTACCTTTCTGCTATAATTGAGATCAGTAACATATGTAGGCTAATTGGTAAAGACTGTCTGTGGTGGTTTTACAGCAGCTTACTGGATGAGATTTAATATGCACATTGGCTGGTAACCTCACCTTGACTTCTCCTCTACTGCAGGGGCGGGTCCTCGCCAGTGGTCGCCATCCGATTGGCCCCCTGGTTCATCCCCAGCATCAGAGTCTAGTAGTGTGAGATTCAGAGAGCTGTCAGTCCCACTTTGAGGAAGGAAAAACTCGGGCGAACAATAGCAATTGTTCATCCAGGTCTTCACTTTCAGCCTCACACAGCAGGAATTCTATTGACCGGCTCAGTTTTTGCTGAGAAATTAAAGTCTTGAATTAACCAATTACGATTTGAATCATTTATAAATGATAGATTAGCTTCGTCGGCCCCCCCCTAGATGTGGCCCTAATATAAGTTCCCTTCCATCACCTTAAAATTCCGAACCTTCCCTGAACGCTCACAAAGAAGGAAAGTCAGTAAGTAAGTGTTTGAGAATGGATTCCAAGCATGTTGACCTCAATGACCCTGGACAGAGAAAGTTTGTTTTTGTGTACACCACCACCCACCCGCCCCCCCCGCCAACCCATCCATCCATCCATCCATCCAGATCCTGGTATAAACAGAACAGGGACACGGGGTAAAAGACATATTTCATTTCACTCTGCTCAAAGTGAAGGGCAAAATGACAAGGAAAAAAGAAAAAACACGTCCAGAGGAATGGGGGAAAGAAAGAAAAAAAGCAGACCTGCTGTCTGTCTATTACTATTACCTACAGGGCTAATGGATGTGTTTTCACAAAGGGTTGTCAAGGTGTTTTTACTCAAGTTTAGAGGAGTGTCCCCGGCCCAGAAGCCTGGGGAGTAGATCAACTGCCCAATGTGTTTGTCTTTTTTATATGGGGGAGGTACGTGTGTGTGTGTGTGTGTGTGTGTGTGTGAGTGAGAGAGAGAGAGAGTTATGAACGCTACCTTTGTCCGAGTCCTTCAACTCCTCTGAGCTGCTAGAAGAGCCGGAGGGATCTGGAATAGAAACAGAGAGTTACAGAATAACATGTTTTACTCAAAAGGGAGTCGTTATAAAATAATCACGTCAAATGCAAAAGAAAAATTATGTCACTTCCAAGAACAAAACATAAACAAGGCTGCTCCCACAGGCTGTTCTCATCTGATGAGATTACTGCCCTAATTAATGGGACACTTTATTTGGCGAGAAGAGGACGGAGGTTTTACTTCTGCGTCTCTTGCGTTTGTGCTTTCTGGAGTGTGAAGACGACCTCTTCCTCTTCTTCTCCTTCTTCATCTTCTGCGGTGGCTCCTGGTTCTCATCCGACACCTTTTTAGTCTTTGCTTTCACCTCCTTCCTCCTACAAACAGACCCACACTTTGAACAAACAGCATTCAGAATACAAATGCAGCCAATTACAGCGCTTATTTGTAAGGCAAGCTAAAACCTTCAGGACCAAAGGCACTTCCAGAGGCGCATGAATGGCTCTTGGCTTGAGTTTTATACAGATGAAGGCTTTCCATACACTCTGTTACGACGTCTGCTGGAACACTCAAAGGGACGTTTAAAAAAGATTTTCAAGCTGCATCATCACAGTCAGATGTGTCAAGATTCCACTTAAAATTGAAAATGTGATATATAATAATAATAATAATAATAACTGGCAAGAAGGTCAAACAGGAGACATTAATACAAATTGCAATCTACATGCCACAAAATAATGTAAGTTGGGCTGTCTGTCTGTGGTGACCTGCCCTGCTTACTGCAGACCAGCGCATTCTGTCCACAATCTTTAAAATCACTCATTAAAAAGATCAACATTGAGAAGTACTTACTTGTGGTGGTAATTGAGTTTGAACGAGCATTCAGGACATAATCCTACAATAGAAACAACACGGCATCATCAATAGCAACTCAAATATAATAGTTTGTGGAAAAGTTTTAATTGTTTTTAATGTAATTATTATTATTAATTATTTTTACAGTAATTATAAGGCTGCTGTGAGATTAATTCTTGCACGTTTTATACTTTTTCATCCTCTATTATAAGATGTATTTGGTAAGAAATGTGAAAAAAAAATTTATTTTGTATTTTTAGAG